AGCTTTTATTATATATAATCAGTTTTTGTTGTAATGCCTTGTAATTCTTATTTGAGTACAAGACAAATTCGTCTTGCACACTTACACCTACTTGCAAGAACATTGTCATACGATATTAGAAAATTAGTAATTTAGTGAGAAAGGAATACATTAAAAGACAAAAGAAAAAGTTCAGCTTCAGTGATCTTCTTTTGTTTTTTAATATAATTCCTATCCCACTAAATCACTGTTCTATTTTCGTATGACAACGTTCTTGCAAGTAGGTGTATATGTGAAGATTTATCCTTATTCTGATTTTGTAGGAGCATTAAGGCCCTGTTACACTTTCAACTTTTAGCCGAAACTTGTGTGCAACGGCGTTGTGAGACATATTTCAAGGGGATGTTACACGGTGCAATTTAACCTTGGTGAAACTTTTGTCGCGATAAAGTTGCACGAAAAGTAGAACTGCTTTCTACTCGTGCAACTGAAACTTGTTTCGCGAAGAAGTTTCAGGGCGAAATTACGCCGTGTAACATCCACTTGAAACTTCCCTTGAAACTTGTCTCGCAACGCCATTGCACGCAAGTTTCAGCTGAAAGTTTCATTTGTAACAGGGCCTTTATTGCCTGACTAGACGACATCCAACAATAGCCAATGTACGTGCACGGGCATGAATCCTTAGCACAAAGCATGATGGTAAACCAAGTAATTACGCTTTTTCGGCACCTCTAAAACTTTATCTGACAATTTTTTAACTTTCATCATATTATGACAATGTAAGTATTTCAACAGACGAAAATTACAAAGTTTGTTTTTTTTGGATAGTCCCTTTAATTTCCCTGCTCTATTTCTGCAGTATTCGGTTTCCCAGAGTGCTTTATGAGCTAATTTGATGTACATTGCCTTAGTATTAGGAAGGATGCTTAATTTATGTACATAGGGGCTACCATAATGTTTTCCCTTACATTTTTAGATAGCCCCCCCCCCCCCTTCCCCATCCAATAAGAAACAAACAAAATAAAATATCATCACTGGTTTTATTAGTGGTCGGTCCTTAAACAAAATGGCTCTCTTGTACCTTGATCTACTTTTGAGGAAATTTGCCATATCCCCATTCCATCACAACAACCTACCTCTGAAAAATTATGACACCCCTAAAAATCATCAGACATCCCCTGTGCATAAATTATGAACCCTCCAATAGTAGTACTATTTTATATTCTGTTATATTGATAATTTTAAAAATAATAAAATAAATAAGATTTGGATGTTGACAAGATGTTTTTATTTATTGAGTATTTTGAACCAATTCTTTAAAAATAGGGATGACTTAAGATTTTTATCTTTGAAATCATAGTCAGCAAGACAAGCAGGGATATATCAGCCAGGCAGGCAGGAATATCAGCCAGGCAGGTAGGAATATCAGCCAGGCAGGTAGGAATATCAGCCAGGCAGGTAGGAATATCAGCCAGGCAGGTAGGAATATCAGCCAGGCAGGTAGGCTGATTAACTATCGAATACCCTGCATTTCATAGGCGTTCCTTTTTATGTTTGGTTGGATACGCAGATACGAATTGAAGAATACCACCCCTCCCCTTTAGATATGAAGATACCTTCATACCTATAAAAGGGTGAGTGGTCTTCATGACTAAAGGGGGAGGGGTTGTGTACTTCACTTTGTATCCGCAGGAATGCTATGAACCGATAGCTGTACGTAAACAAGGCTCTAAATAGGGATGCCTGTGGTTTATTACGTCGGTCAGGAAAGCCAGCGGTATGATGCTTGAAAACAACAAGAATTATAAAATAAATTAAATAGTACGCACGCTGTGATTGGTTGATAGCCATGTTTGCATGAGGGTATGTAAACA